ATGTCCTAGAGATCTTAGGTTCAAACCCAACCAATCACTAGTGAATTATATTTACGTGGTCCATCTACGCCTAGCCTGAAAAATATGTAAAAACGGTTCTGGGCTAGAGCTAACGAAAATGTCCCTGAAGTCCAGGAGAACATACTATCAGTTTTCGTGTAGATCTACAAGTAAAAGTGGGATTCGTATGTAATGGCAGATAATACTCATCTTTGAATTTTGAGTGAGCTGTTCCAATAAATTTAAGGGGTTAATTCTGGACCTAGGACAACGCACGAGCCCCAGGCAAGAGTAGAAAGTTTCTCGAGTGCAGCAAAGACACTTTGCACTCGTGTTACAAATTATATTTTTCCTAAAGTTACTATAAAGCGTATAAATAATTAGTATTTCAAAATCTTAACACGTTTTTAGGTTAGGTTAAATCCAAAAGTTTAACGAAGGAAACCCAATGAACTGTTTAAAGTATTTGCACCACCTCAAAAATAACGTACAATGTACACGTAAACATATATTTAGTCTCATAGGGTTTTCTTCCGACTATACACAGGGAAATATATAACAAAAGTAAAAGGAAAGCCGTCTCAAAAATTATGACGTTGTTTTGATAGAAACCAGTAATATCTAGATCAGTGCACGTTTTGACCTCTGTTTTTTGTTTTGCTTGATTATTCCACTTAAATTATCTTGCTCATTTTATTTTGATTTTGTCTTCCTACAGAAAACGCCTCATTGCTTCATATCTTGCTCATATATTGCTTCATATATTCCTTCATATATATTGTTGTTCAGAGGCAACAATCAAGGACAACTTTTTACCGTTTTCTCGATTGAATATTTGTCGTTCTATAAGACACAACACATACTGAATTACTGAATAGATTACTGAATTGTTTTATTATTGTGGAGACACAAAATCAACTGATCAATTTTGAATGATTCTAAAACTGTTTCTAAGGCAATTTCAGGTAGTTTTAACCTTTAATATTTGTTTTACTAATTTCGTTATTTTGCTGTTCCGCCATTTTGTTATAACTAATCAGAATCAAACGAGACTTCATGGGGTATTTTTACACGTGTGTTTATTATAACTGTTGAGTTTCAAGTTTGCAACGTGTTCAACACGTATTGTATATTAATAGAAACATAGAGACCTATTCATGGGACCCCCAGTATAGCAGCTGTTTTACTAACTACAAATCGAGAAAAATAAAATCTCTTTGCTCTGGTGTAATTTAGGATATAATTCTTATTTCTATCAACCATGTACTTTGCAGAGTACCCATAGCTTTTATTGAAATTTAAAACGAAAAAAAATAAAATGTCATATTTTCAACTAATTATGTCCAAAGTCAGTGTCCCTCTGTTTGGAAATAACCAAATCACGTACACACAATTTGTAAATCCTCTTGCAGGCATTAAAATGGATATTTAACAAACCAACAAACATTGTTTTACAACTGTAGAAATGATGTTGGTGAACCATATGATGTTGTTCTGGAAGTTAATTCGGAGAGATGGTCCATCTGTATTGAACCAAAAGAACAATAATTCTTGTAAGCTAGCTCCAGATGACATGAATAGTTTTTTTGCCACCATGGGAACTGGTAATAAAATTAACCCTAATGTTCTAAACTATTACAAATTTAACATTGCTAAACACGTTTCTGGGACATTTAGTTTCTCTGAAGTAAGTGAAGGTCAAGTAAAAATGGACCTTACAACTTCCAAAAGCATTAAGATTCTTGGTGTGACAATTGACTCGCAGCTGACTGACTTTCTATAGACATGTAAAACAGATAAGCAAACGTGTTGTTGGAAAATTAAAAGTGCTTAATAGGTTTAGAACATTGCTCCCAGCAAACATCAAGTTGAGGTTGGTCAAATTCCTGATTTTCCCTTCTTTAAATTACTGCCTACCTGTTTTTGGATACAGCTTAACACAGGAACAGATCACAATACTTCACAGGCTACAGAATTGCTCCCTAAGGTTCGTATACAACCTTAAAAAATATGATCATATAACAAGTCACCGTAGGATCTCAAATACAATGTCCGTCCGGGAGAGCTGTGATAAGAAGGTTGCATGTATCGTCCACAAAACACTGGTCACTCAGGCACCACAGTACTTGAAGGAAAAACTGAAAGCGAGGTCGGCCGTGAGAGAGCGCAGAACTAGACAGGACTTGTTGCTTGACATACCAAGGGTTGTTCTTGATGCTGGTAGAAGGGGTTTTTCTTACTTCGGATCGGCTCAGTACAATGCACTTCCTTGCACGCTAAAATCACTGTCTTACAACAATATTAAGAATCGCCTAAAAAGTTTGTAACTAATCTTATTTTGTTTCGTAGTTATAAGATTTTTTCTTTAGTTTAAGTCCTGACTTGAGTCAATTTGTAAAACAGTTTTGTAGCTGAAATTCGCTCATGAATAAAGACCTTATTTATTTATTTATCTTCAATTCCTCGTCAAAAATACACGAAACCAAAGATGAGATAAATGAACTGTAAATAATCAAGTTTCGAATAGCAAAATTGACAATGGTTTCAAAATGTGCGACGATATGAGCTGATTTACCCGTCCTTTGCAACGGGATAAGAACGCGAAAAAATAAGGTTCTTACATCAAGAATAAATTAAATTACATGATATTGATGTTTCTTAAACAAATGTTTTAATAACTCGTCAATTTTAATCACGCTTATTTACCTGTTGTTAATTATGTATGTTACAAGAAACATATAAGCAAAATTCTAAAAACTTTCAATACCTTTCTTTAAATTCAAACAAAACCCTTTTAATAACAAAACTACTAAATAACACATGAATTCCTAAATGAAAATATAGGACAATAAAAACCCTTTCAATCAAATAAAAAAAAACAGCTGTTGTTTGCATCAACCAGCTGTTTCATTTAATTAATTATAGTTCATTCCGAAATAAGGTTAGAGGTTTTATATAATGTTATAATATACTATAACACAATAGGTGTTTAATAATGGCTCATTAACTTTGGAAATTAACCTATGGGTGGGGAAGAGCTCACAGGGAATTCGTTCATACCAATAATAATCGGCAAATCTATACACTCTAAGCCCATTTTGATGTGTTATTTGCCACTATTCTATTTTTGTTTCGCAAACAGCCTCAAGAGATTTTTACTAATTTTTATGTATAACTGTTTTAATAGATTGTTTTTACTGACTATAAATAATTTTCCCAAAGCTAGTTTATGAAAATACTTAGTAGAGTGCTATACCATTTTGTATAGAACCAAATAGGGTACTAATTGTTCCATAAGCATATAATGGCTATCATGAGTGTTGAATGCCCTTAGAAGTAGGACAGACTAAACAATTGTAGCCAAAGGTGTAAGCAATGATTTATAAATAATGAATACGGCGTTAGTTATATCAATAGCCGAATTACACATCAAGAGGTTATGCTTTTTGGCTAGAGTTGTGACATTTGGTTAATATGAGTATACAATCATGACAAACCACAGAAATATCACTAATTAGTTATAACAGTTCAAAATATGATTTTCTTAAACATTCTCCACAGTAGGTAAAAATGTTAAATATATGTTAAATACAACGTTGACACAATTATTATGGTGTCAACATTGTAATTATTGTTTTATTTTATTGTTTAAACATTTAATGAAGCCGTATAACGAAACTTCACCATCAAAGCTAGTGATATATAGGTATGTTACAGGAAAAGTATACAATGATTGAAGCTTTTAGGTAAAGTATGAAATATAATAATAACGATAGGGTCAATAAGTCAATAGGTCAATAAGTCATTTATTAGGCCAGATCAACATATGCATGCATTAGCCAAGTCAAATTTATCTTAATTGATGTGGGTGTTATACACATTGACTAGTTATTGTGTATAATGCCCAGACATTGCTGGTCCACAGTGTTAATGATTCTTTTATCAAGCAGAATGTAGGCCTACTCCCACAAGAGTGGATTTTCTCACCTCTCCAATTAAAAGAATTATTAACACTCGATATCATGTATACATTTCTCTACGAAAAAACATAAATAGCTAATGCTTTATACGAAATCCACTAAAAACGTGAACTGGGATTCTAAAGCAAAATACTCGTAGAGATGGATGCGATTGAACTTATCGAGCACTTCTGATCTTCTCTCTTGAGCACCCATTGAAGATTGATGCCACCAAGTATTAGATGAAACTCGATTGCAAATAATCGATCCTTTAACATTGATTAAGTAATACAGTATACTGATATTTAGTTTAAAAAATAGTGTACATATCTTGATTTCTTAACTCATATAACGATTGCAAAAAGTGTTGTAGTAAAACACCGAATTTCAAGCCACAAAATAATGCAAAACTATATTTTTATTTCAATCAAATGAATACAACCAGCTGTTTCCTTAGTTAGTATAACATTCAAAAATATTCATCTGTTCAGACGTAAACAAATATTTTATATTATATAAGGATAACATGGGAACTTTAGAAGCCACTGGGGCAGAGCCCTGATAGAATTTCTTGAAAACTCTTCTTATTTACACCAATAAATCCATGAGTTCTTATGGTTTGTAGTTTTGGGATACAGTAATCAGTGAGTGGTATTTGACTTTTATAAGTATAGATTTGAAATTGTCAAAATAGCTGTTTATTTAACTCTGATGCAACCACATGACACAATCCCCAAAAATATTTCTTACATGTAAACTTTAAGACCCAGTTGGGTGTAACCTAGGAGGGCTTTTGCAAATATATTTAAATAAACCCCATTCGGCATCACCTATCTACTGGTAAAGTTTAATAATTTCAAGCTGCGAAATCATTGTACTGTAATTCATTTACAGAGAAAAGGCAAATTGAGGAAAAGAGTGAAATAGCATTGGGATTCCCGTTTAACCTCTGACACTAGTCTTGACCGTGGCCCGAGTGATAAAACACTCACTTGTAGGTTAGAATGCAATAAATAGACTCAGTGTTAATCTTGTGTTAGTTCAGTTAACGGTGGACAGCGTCGAAACTTTTAGAACTTGCCAGTGTTAAATTTGATCATGTTTACAATACTGAAGATTGTAGTTTTTGCAATATATTTAGTGGTTACAACTGGATTCCCAGCCATCATTGATGAAGGAACAGAAAACTCTAGTGAGACCACCACTCTGGTATGTAAAGTTTAGCTGTAAATCTACCTACGGTATATGTTATGTAACAAGTTTTAGGATAATTACTTAGTCTAAAGTAAATAACTTTTCAAAATTTAACATAGAGACACAAAATCTCTATGGGGGGGGGGTTTATGGTATTATAGGAACGAAAATTAAATAAAAATCTACCTCATTGAAAGATTTTAAGCGTTAACAAATTCTTAGTGTTAGAATTGTGTTGGAAAATATTACCTTAGCTAAAATTCACATGTTTTCTGTGGAACTAATTTCACAGCTGTTTGTCGCACTGTAATTTAGCTTACGATTAAAAATATGTTTATATTAGAAACTTTTTGTGAGTTCCTCAAATAATCGTTCCTCGTTGTTAGAAGGAATCATAATTATATATCACTGAAGGTTATTCCTTGTGGATTTTTTATTTAATCGTTTGCCTTGTATGAAAGTATTTTGTACGCTAAAATGGAGTATCGCCCTCATTTTTATTGTATGTCGCCATATGTGTCAGAAACCAGAATAAAAGTTACAAATCAATGTGTAATGAAGTGGTTTCTGTAGCAATTTGCTCGAGTCTTATTTGTAACTTCGGTATAATGGTCCATACTTGGGAGATGAGGATATACGATGATAAATAAACGAAATCCAACCAACATAATACATTTGGTAGTTAATAGATATTTATCGACTTGACGTTGAAAATAATCAGCGTGTTAGAAACATTCAGGAAACTCAGTATTATGTTTTTTTCCTTTTTTAAGTTAACTAATTTAAGAAGGTTATATTAGGTATTAATCAGTATATTCGTTAATATATTTTCCTCTAAATATACTTCGGGGGAACCAAAGATGCTTGAGGCAATTTATTTGATTTATCGTAAACTGAAACTAACATTAACACCAACCTAGTATACTGTAGTTTTACAACAGAAAAGTTTATAGATGAAATAAAACGGCTTAAGAATCAGAAACAGAATGTTTTATTGCTATAATAATACATAAATGTACAGGGCAAAAGTCACTAAAACTAAACATGAAAAAATCAGACCCATTAAAATAAAGATACAAACTATTTACAATTTAAAAACGAAGAAACTCTGTAAAATTCCTTATCAACTAAATATTCCCTCAGACTATGCTTAAATTGTTTTAAATCATGTTCGCCCTTAATTAAATTAGGAAGAGAATTAAAAAGACGGATACACATGGAGAATGATTGGTTTTTATCGAAAGTGGTACGAGATAGTGGAATAGGTAGATCAAAGTTCCTCCTGAGATTATAGCTGTGGTGAGATGACCCTCTAATATGGAACATTGTTGAATTTTTTTAAGAAGGTCAAAGATTCAAAAATAAATAGATGGGAAGGTCAGCATATTATTTCTACGAAAAACAGATCTACAAGACTCTCTATATATTAGGTTGAAGATTATTCTGATGGCTCTTTATTGCAGTTTGAATATTTTCTTAGTTTGAAGTTTGTCGTTACCACAAACGGGAACACAATATGTAAGAAAGGGGTAAACAAGACCGTAATAAGCTGTCAGGAGGATGCGTATTTGATAACAGGAGAGCCTACGAAGAAGGAAAGCACTAGTACTAAGTCTATTGTGAATTTTGTCGATGTGACTGGAAAACTTCAGATTGCTGTCAATGACTACGTTACTCCTAAATATGTTACACTAGAACTAATTTTGTGGACCTCAAACACACTAACACAACTAAGTTGTGCACCTCAACTTGTTTGAGATGTTAAGCTAAAACAATCAAAAGTCATCGCTTGTGTATACAAAAGCTATCCCCAATCACAATATCTTCAAAATGTCTGCGTCATCCTTAAGTATTCCCAAGCTATTTCGTCCAAAAACTTACAATTCATTATTAATAATTTAGTTGCATTAGCATTCATTTAGTGTTCATTTTAAATCTCACTGAATGTCCAATATGTAAGTAAATGTAGTAATAAAGAACTTAATTTGGATATTAATCAAGACACTTTTGAACTTTTAGGTCGTAATAACTCATTCACCTTAGTAAATTCCATAGTTATTTATTAGTTACAGTTAATATGCTAAACTCTTTTATATGAAATTTAACTTGTTATTGACTTGTTGTAGCGTTATCTGACCAAGTTCGGTTATCTTCCACCAGTCGATCCAACGAATCCTGACAAGATCGTAACCAATGATCAACTTGCAAAAGCTATTAGAGACTTTCAGCAATTTATGGGATTGGAAGTTACAGGTATTATTGGAAGTCAAACGATAGTGCTAATAATAATTTTAATTCCCTAAACAATTAACATTGTTTTCCAGTATGTCTTGTAAGGTGTAATAAATGAACATAACTATTTAGTCTATTCTAATTCCAGTACATGCGTAATCTTATAAAGATGCTGTTATAGATATAGTGTTGTATATTCTTTTTCATAAATGTTGCTTAAGGCCCCAGCCACACGAGGCGAATTTAAGCCGCGCGGCTTATCTTCGCGCGAAGTTAAGCCGCGCGAAGTACCTGGCCACACGGGGCTGATGAACCGCTTCCTGTTGGGTTTTCCCAGTATCAGTACTCTATTTAAACATAGTTCAGTTTTCAGTTCACTCCTTTTAGTCGCGGACGAAACACTTATGTTAGTTTGTGCATTAGAAGCGTGTGGTGATCTTGAACCAAATATCAACAGAAATAATTGGGTCCATCTCTTCCTAACGGAAAAACTATTTGTGTTCCAAACCTTTTACGAGCACATGCGAAACTATAGTTCGGAGTTATTTTGGTTATTACCGTATGTATGTGTTTAGTGTTACTCGTTCGACAAGTTACTTGAATTGTGCCAACCACATATAGCTAAAAAGAGACACTCATGAGAAGTTCAATTAGTGCTGAGGAAGTCTGACAATAACATCAAACATGTTTTGAACACCACACAACCGGTAACAAACACACAAAACAAACTAAAAAAGCACTGGAAGTGTCCGAAGAATATCTCCAATAAGCGCGGCTGCCGCGCGGTCGAACCGTATCGTGTGGCCACTCTCATAAGACTACGTGTGTCATCCCCTCCAACGCGGCTTAACTTCGCGCGGTCGGGGGACGACATGGCGCGGCTCAACCGCACATGCGGCTAAACTTCGCCTCGTGTGGCCACTCTCATTTGATTCAATGTGTTGTCGAGCCCCTTAACTTCGCGCGATTAAACCGCCTCGTGTGGCCGGGGCCTAACTCTATATTGTAGCTGGCTGAATAGTAATACATCTATAATACCTACATATAAATTAGCAATACACAATAACATATTGCTGTGTTCTATATTTAACTTAAAAAAAACAACAAAGGAGCGTTAGATTTGGTTTATAGTTATCAGAGATACACTCTTATCAGTATTACATGCGTTGATAGTGTATTGACACTACATGAAACATATACATTGGAATATGATAAATAACTTCATAAATAATGCTCAACTGTTTTACAGCTTAGTGTGATTTAATATTTTACAACATTTTTATAGGCGAACTAGATGAAGAAACCAAGGAGGAAATGAAAAAATCAAGATGTGGAATCAAGGACAAATCTCCTCCAAGTACCAATAGACGCTTCAAACGGTATAATCTTGCAGGTAAGTTCCCAATAAGTAAAATACAATAATTAACTCATTGGTTAGTTATATTATTAAATTATAAATAATATTGTATCAGTTCATATAACTTATGCCACAGCGTCTGTGCTAATATTGTATCAGTTCATATAACTTATGCCACAGCGTCTGTGCTAATATTGTATCAGTTCATATAACTTATGCCACAGCGTCTGTGCTAATATTGTATCAGTTCATATAACTTATGCCACAGCGTCTGTGCTAATATTGTATCAGTTCATATAACTTATGCCACAGCGTCTGTGCTAATATTGTATCAGTTCATATAACTTATGTCACAGCGTCTGTGCTAATATTGTATCAGTTCATATAACTTATGCCACAGCGTCTGTGCTAATATTGTATCAGTTCATATAACTTATGCCACAGCGTCTGTGCTAATATTGTATCAGTTCATATAACTTATGCCATAGCGTCTCTGCTAATATATAAAAGTTAATATAACTTATGCCACAACGTCTGTGTTAATATTGTATAAGTTTATATACCTTATGCTACAACGTCTGTGCTAATATTATATAAGTTCATATAACTTATGCCATAGCGTCTTTGCTAATATATAAAAGTTTATATAACTTATGCCATAGCGTCTGTGCTAATATTGTATTAGTTCATATAACTATACCACTACGTCTGTGCTAATATTATATAAGTTAATATTACTTTTACCACAACGTCAACATTTTAGTTACATTTTATAAATCTAAACAAATTATCATTGTTTACGTCTGTTTTTAGAGGGCAAATGGGACCACAATAATATCACTTACAAGGTGGTAAAGTATCCCTCTAAATTTCCAAGGGATGAGACTGACAAAGCATTCAGAGATGCGTTTAACGTCTGGGCAAGACACATACCCTTGACATTTACTCGTGTAACCACAGGACCTGTCGACATAGAAATCAGGTAAATCGTTTTATAAAGTTATTTGAGGTTTTTTCGGTTTATTATATAGTTGTTAGATATTATATTTAGAATCTACGTTTATAAGATAAAATCTATGATTCACTTCCTGTCTTCGCAATCCAGATGTGTTATTGCACTACGGCCGTTTCGGAGATTACTCCATCGTCGGGTAAATAGTCTGACTCTAAACTAAATGTTTTCATTTACATTGTTCACGGAATATCTCTTCATTTTCATTGTGTGAATGGTTAATACATATAAACACAAGACACGGTAAGAAAACATTAAAGCATGTGAACAGCTTGAAAACTGGCAACCGACAGATCGACTCTTATCACTGCAAGAGAAGGTGGACAACTGGAACAGCTGATTGTGGTTGCTAGTTATAAGCTAAACAGTTGTGTCTATTAAAAGGTCAAGTTGCTAGATCTTGGTTGAGTTTAACAGACCTCTCATGCCACGAATGTTTTATTAGCTTTATCTTTATCTTTCAATACTCCTGTGCAGTTTCAATCATGTCAGTGCTGTAACCGTTATTCAGAGCAATATTTTTTATCGTGCTTAGTTCATTTTATAATTCTTTTTGCTTAGAGGTGCATACGTAATGCATTAAAAATGTATCTAACCTTAAATATGCACTTAGACCCAGGTACCGAATCAGTTACAGGATTTTGAAATAACTAAAATCAAATCAAATAATATTTATTTCGCAAAGAAAAAGTGTATAATAGCTGTAGCGACTCGCTACAAGTACACTAGCGCAAGTCACGTGAGACGGTTAGGTGCGCGCGCAGTCTAAGCGAAGCAGGCACGTGCGCCAAGGAACGATGGAGTAGGGTAGTGTCGTGTGAACGTGTGAGCCTCCAGCGGCGCTTCAACGTTCCGCTACAAGTACACTAGCGCAAGTCACGTGACACAGTTAGGTGCGCGCGCAGTCTAAGCGAAGCAGGCACGTGCGCCAAGGAACGATGGAGTAGGGTAGTGTCGTGTGAACGTGTGAGCCTCCAGCGGCGCTTCAACGTTCCGCTACAAGTACACTAGCGCAAGTCACGTGACACAGTTAGGTGCGCGCGCAGTCTAAGCGAAGCAGGCACGTGCGCCAAGGAACGATGGAGTAGGGTAGTGTCGTGTGAACGTGTGAGCCTCCAGCGGCGCTTCAACGTTCGGATAAGTACTAGGATTAAGACTATGTTTAGATAATTCTATGGGGGTTGGAGAAGGGTTAGGCTAGGGCAAATTAATTACTAATTATGTAATTTATTAGGTTCACCAAATTGTCGTGGTCTGGTAAATAATATTCCAAATTTATACGATTAATATTTGAATTTACTTTTGCTAAATCTAGTTACTTTCACGAATCAGAATAAGTCCAGATGTATAAATATTTCTCTGTTCACTATATATTATTTAGATATATTAAATAACATAAAAGCTGGCTGTGATATGCAGCTAAGGTATTATTGTGCACTTTGACGAGGTAGTTAGCTTCTTTCCAGTAGAGTTGAACAACGACAGGAAATGTGCGTGATTTTGTAGTGGTAGAGGAAGATATATGGGGCCCAGGTATCTTCATTTACATTCATACTACTCTATTTCACCACATAGCGTCACAAGAATATAAAATAACACTAAATTCTAAATACTATAAGAACTAAAATGTAACAGAAAAATATCACAATTTCCATCTGCAACTTAAATACTCTTTCATAGAGTAGGGAGATTGTTCTAAAAGTATGCGTTTGACTGCTCTCCCAAATTTGTCCTTGTCTTGCTCCACTTTCAGGGGTTCAGGCAACACATTGAAAAACCTAATACTATTATAAAAGATGTGTCTCTTAAACCCATGAAACCCCTTAAATGTTAAAGAAACTATTAGCACATGAGTTTATTTATACAAACGGTTGATATGCTATCTTAGCAATCTCATAAAAATAGTCAACACTGAAATATTTGGCTATTTAAAAACCATGTCAAACAATCTATAAATGATTTTTAACTGAATTCACGTTTATAAAACGAACAAAATTAAAACCAAATAATATTGCATTGAACACATTATCAGCATATTTAAACAACAACCAGTGAGTGATAATTTGGGTAATTAATTGTATTACATACAGACAATATAAAAATATAAGAAAACTGACAGAAATTATCACTAGTTAGACACCTGGTATACAAAATCCAATGTTCGTCCTTTATTTACAATAATGTTTATAGTTGTTCTGCAGTTTCATTAAACGGATTTTGTAAAATAAATCTTAAAAATGGTTTTTCTTTCATGATTCAAATGTAAATACAGACTTTCTTTACTGGTTTTATGATGTTAAAATATGCTATCTATCTACATTAAAACTTCAAAAATTACTTTTGGTATTATTTACTTAATTAAGATTTACCATCTTATTATATGAATTTGTCATTTATTTAGTACAATAAAGTAAATAATCATTAAGTAAAATAAAATAGTTTTTTGCCACACTAGCAAACGCTTTTGACTGGAATTTATAGTTTTCATCTGGTTCACTTTGTAAAAATGTAATTTAACATGTACAGTGCAATGAAAATATACTGGATCAAACATAAGATTTGTATTGTACTGCAAACGGGTAAATCAAAGAATATTACTAATAAATTATTACAATGTATATTTAGACATATAGTTCTCGTAAATGGCTATTTACTTTTTTTTCTATCTGAAATCAATTTAGGCACCAATGAGCTTATAATTGTACCTACAATGGCAAGCTGCATGCATGTACATCCACCTAACCATGTTTCATGATTTTATTGCTTTTACCTTCACAAAATTCATAGCTATTATTTATGATTATAGTTTTTGAAAGATCATTGTTTTACTGTTACCAGGTTTCTAGGTGAAGACGAAACAAATGAAGGCAACCCTGAAATTAAATTTGACGGACCAGGTGCAGAGATGGCCAAGACTTACTACCCAAAAGACACATCACCTAAGGGTGGTGATATGTATTTTGATGACGATGAAGAATGGACATACAATACTACTAGAGGTATTTTTTTTATCTTACCTCATTACAATGAGCTGTTTTGAAGGCGTATCAGGGTTTAGGTAACATTCACAAGATATTTGTCGGCAACAAACCTTTTAAAATATGACATGTTCATTTACAGAATTACATGAGTTAAAAACAAATACCCCAGCTATTTTGGGTGAAATAGCATAGGATGAAATGAACCAATTTAATAGTCTTATCGAGATATATGCATACACATAACAAGCAAACTACAACAGTTAAGTTATTCTCCTTAGGAATAACATAGCAATATTAAATCAATTTCTTTTAATTTCCTCCGTAACCATTAAATGTTCAAAACTACTTCAAATAACTAAATTATATATAGTTTTGAGCTCTACACACTAGCTGAGAGAGAAATTGAAATGATCTATGTTTTGATGACCTAAAAAGACAAAAACCTATTTTCACACCATACAATTTATTTCAACACCATGCCCATAATCCGATCATGCTAGTTAGTGAACTCGTTCGAATAAACGTAGGTTTACTTGTTTGTAACAAATTGCATCAAAATGTAATAATTTTTACTCGAGTTATTGTACTTATGGAACCACACTAACACTCACACAAACGCACCGACATACAATTTAAATTTAAACGGGTGGTGTTTTTGACCATGAGACATACGGTAATAGCTTATTCCCTAAATGGGATATTTTCTAATTAAGTATTAATAATATTTAAAAACGTAAACCATAATCTCATCACTCAATTTTTGTGCAAACATTTATTAGAATCAAATCATTCATAAATCAAAGATTGGGTTAGTCGGTAAAGTGGGTTTTAGGTTAATTCATACACACCGTATTGGCACTTATTATGTATGTGTAGACATACCAGGTGTCCCATAAGTCCACCCTGGCTAATTTTTAAGCGGCTGTATATATTCAAACGAGCTTCGAGACACTTTTTCATCAACCTCAGAGACCCCACATAAAAATACATTATAATATTCAATAAGGATAAGAATATGAAAGTTTATTGCCATTGACCAAGTTGTACATAGGAATAGGCATTGTCAAATTACATTAAATAAAATATTACTAAATACGTTCATATCTATAGGTTATAAAGATTGAGAATAACGATTGAGAATTCTTAATTTACAGTATGACAGATTCCGCTTTAATTTTATGTTCCATGAAGTCCTTAACTGAGTTGAATGGGTTAGCTACAAGCCAGTTATGAATTTTTGACTTAAAAAGAGGAAGAGAAAGGCTGTCTGCCTGAGAGAGGCTCAGGCAGCTTATTATAAAATTTCACACATTTAAGTTTGAAAGAATTACCTGTGATGTGGTATATCCAGTTGTTCCTTATTTTGTGTATGGTGGAAATGGTAATTCTGCCTGGTGGTAAACCCATTGAGATTAGCTTTAGTGTATATAAGTACATTGTAGATATATAAGTTATTGATTGTGCAAATGTTTATTCTGACAAAGTGGTTTGCAGTGCTCCGCAGGGCCAGCCCCCAACATAGTGCTGATGACTTCTTTTTGTATTAGTAGAAGCTCATGAACATGGGGGGAATGGCCCCAAAGTTTATACTTACTACTTTACTTTATACTTTCTTATGAAATGGCGACCATACTATGTAGGTATTTTAAGCCAAGTATGAATGGAGATGAGTGTAGGATGAGTGGTGCGATCTTGTAGTCTTGTTAGTGACTAAGGCCGACATTCCTTAGACACAGCTGTTAATTAATAGCCCAAACAGCTAATGGCAACTAAGAGACCTACAGTTTGGATTCAATATTGAATGTGGGATTGAAACAGCCCAAAATAGGCTAGTTTTAGATATTCAATATCAACAAAAGACTTGAGTTTCCAGAATAGTCATGAAACTCTTGATAGTTTTTTGCTTAAATTTGTGATGTGAATTTTCCAATTTAATTTACTATCAAGGTGAATGCTTAGATGTTTGACTGAGTGGTCTAACTTGTTTGAAGAAAGTGAGAATTATATTTTCTGGGTTTTGGATCGGTTACAGATGAGTTTATTAGCAGAAAACCAGTTTAAAACACTGTATTCTGCATTAGAAAGTGTTTCTGAGAGCTTTGTTAGATCTTTTTCAGAAGTAAAAATTGTGGTGTCGTCTGCATATATAACACAGTCAATAGGGATGTTACGTGGAAGATCATTGACTGTGACAATGAAAAGAAAAGGGCCCAGGACCGAGCCCTGTGGAACTCCTGCTTTACTTGCTGTCAATGTTGAGTTTTTACCCTCCACACTAACTAATTGCCTCCTATTGGTCAGATATGATATTAAAATTTTATCGGTTGTACCGGGAAAGCTTCATATGAAAAACAGTAAACTTTTTGGGTGGTATCACAATTTCTCCTGAAACTTAAAATGAAGCTTATAAAAAATGTTAAATGTATTGCCTGAAAACTAATAACGGCCGCCATTTTGTACTGGATTGAGGTTGAGACCTCTGGTTTTCGCAAATATTCTTTTTAACTAAAGACCTTCAAAATGTGGTGTCACTTGATCGGAATTTATATTTTAAAATTTTAGCTGCACCCAAAATATCCCATTTTGGAGTTCCGGGCAAAATTGTCACAACGATACACAATTATTTTTTACTTTCTTGTTACAATAATAATAATAAGTTTAGTTTCCCTGGTACAACACTTAAAACGTTAATAGGGGATATCGGTGTATAAGTTTAAATGGGCTCTCTCAGGCTAATGAAACATGAAAAAGACCACAATTCTGAAATGGGTTGAGATATAGACCTATGGCTTTCACCGATATTCTTTTTAACTAATGACATTTAAAATTATGTGCTACTGAATAGAGGTTGATATTAAAAAAAAAAAATATAAGTTTCTCAGCAACCCCTACAGAGAGGGTGAATTCCAAAATACCCACAAAAAGTACTTTACATCACCCTAGTAACGTGTATCGAAGCTCGTTTGAATATATGCAGCCGTTTAAAAATTAACCAGGGCGGAATATTATGGGACACCCGGTATATATTATGAAAAAGAACCATTTGTCGTTGGTAAAACTGTTGTTTTAATATGACGATGCATAAAAGCAATTTTAAACTAAAGAGAGACTGACATTGAGTCTAAGTGAAGGATTTTTGTCCATCGACAAAAACGTTTTTCTACAGGAATCCTTTATAAATATTGGAGAGGAATACCTGTGGTTGAAGGGAAAATGAGTAGTAGTTACGAAACCATGAAACTGACTACCTTTTGGGCACACGTAGTTGGTATAGCCTTGTATGAAGAATGCGAGTAGATCCTTGCTAATGACCGTGAGTTCTAGTTGAAACGTACCCATTTGAAGCCCCAAATTATACAAGTGTTGGTCAAAATGTATTTTAAAGAAGTGAAAAATCTGTTGTGTTTAATTAGGCCCTCAAAAAGACTACATTACGTTTATTGCACACAGGGGTTAACCTTTTCCAAATGGCAGCACATGAAATTGGCCACGCTTTGGGTCTCGGCCACTCATCAGTTAGAGAATCTCTGATGTACCCCGCAGTTAAAACCTACAAACCAAACTTGGACCTGCACAGGGACGATATCGAAGGCATCCAGGTAACATAACTCAGGCCATAGCAAAACCTGATTGTTTTAATTTTAGATAAAAAATAACACAAATGAAGACTAAACTGCACCACTGTATTGCATGAACATACCTGTACAACTGTATAGGATCAAACATTATTTTACTAAATATTTTCAAAGCTTAATTGTAAAAAGCATAACTGTATAATTATATAAATTGGTTAAACTTTTGAGTGACAGTCCGGTATTATACTGCACAATAGTTATACACGAAGATACAAGATATATTAGTAATATACTTTGAAGTTATCATTATGGTAACGAATGGTCATTAATACACATTTATGTTTCAGAAACTCTACCCGAGAAAAGAAGAAGAAGATGGCCTTGTTGTTCACCTCACAATCCACAAAACACAAAGTGGCAGAATTTTATAAACAACCTAATTTTAAAGATGTTTTTTATTGTGTTGACAACAGCGATGTATTAAATAGGTATTATTTTGTTACCTAATACAAAATAAATCAGTCAATCATGTTTTGAGAATCGCTTATGGATTTGTTTGATCAATAACCACATACAAACTTTAAATTAAATTATACCAAAGATTAATTACAAAACTAACACAAACAGTTCAGAACTACTGTTATAAAGTCAAAAAATAGCTATACAAACAGCTACTTTTTACAATAAAACATTCATTTTACATTTGCTTTATTTTCTGCCTTCATGGACCGAAACATTTTCAAGTAATTGAATCATGACGTGATGGTTTGATGTTTAATTAGTTTACACTTTCACTTATACTTAGTATGGTTGAATCATTACCATAAAAATATCTATTGAAGTCGAGGTTGGAGGGAAGGGCATTTATAGCAATAAGGAACAGGAGAGGCCCAATACAGAGTCTTGAGGGAATCCATAGTTTTGAGGTCAGCACAAAAAACTAAGTATTGCCGATTGTAAGGAGTGGATTTAGACCACTAATGTAGGAATGACTCACAAAAAAAGGAATAAAATAAGTGTTTAAAAGTCAATAGAATACAGTAATTAGATTAAACAAATTGATACAAAAAAGTTCGCGATTCTATTCATATAATACCCCCGCCACAGCAAACCTGCAGACTAAGCGAATTTCCATTTACCTGGCTGGATCAATACTTTAATCTTCCCTTAAAATTGTCAGATTTATTTCCTATTTAAATAACATTAATTTTAAAGAATACCTAGGTTTTCTGCAACAGGGAATATATTGAGGTTTGTTTTGTATTGAAATGTTGATAGCTTAGTATGAAATAAGCAAAATAGTGAAATTTGATTAAAATATAACCAAGCAAAATACAACAGTTTATTTATTCTCCACAAGAATAACATGGGAATATTTTACCCCATAAGATCCCCCGTTCCCATAGTCCGATCATGCTGGTTCGCAAACTCGTTCGAATAAACGTAGGTTTACACGTTTGTAACAAATTTCAGCAAAATCAGATCAATTTGATCGAGTTATCGCGCTAACGGATATGTATACTTATATGAATTTGGACGGGGAGTGTTTTTGGCCTCTGGGGACCTCAAAATGAAAAAGTAAATCGGTCCCGGGTCTAGGGGTTGAGTCTATGAGACCTATGGTAATAGCTTATTCACTATATGGAAAATTTGCTAAAATGCCTAATTTAGAAAACTAAATCATAAAATCGAGTTTAGTATTAATATTTTTGAAACTATTAAAACTTTGACTGTATTTTGGAGGCCTGGAGCTCCCAAAAATCCAATGATTTAACAACCTCCTCCTTAGAGCAAATGCTATGTGCAAGTCATTAGATTACACTATTGTGTTAACACTCATTGATTCCAATTACATCTAGTGAGGATCTAAATATCACAATTTTATGTAAAATGACTGCCTTCGATCAGCTAGGTATGTCCTGAAATGGTTGCTACTCCACTGCGGACTGAGGCATCAATGGCACTTGGGGTAGAGTATCCCGCCTTGAGAACAAACTGTTGGCTGTTGAAAAAAGAGCATGCAATTCTAAAAACCTCTCATCTGGTTACATATGACATGTTTTACTACCTTGACTATCAGCTGGGACCAGGATAATAGATCAATTGATCTCAGATTGAAGAGAATTGACCTTATCCTCCTTTTGAAAATTGGACTGACCTTCAATAGTTTCAAGAACTCTGGGAAGTAGCCTTTCCTGAAGACAACAACTGTATGTATTATAGAGGCGGTACAATTCCAACCCTACACTTTGATTTTAACAGAATCTAATCTATTAAAATGGGCAAGTGATCAGTGACCAGAACTTGTTTGAATCTATCACACTCGCAAAAAATCTACACCTACCCTAAGATCAGAACAATATTCATACAACCTCCGCAACACACATAACATAGACTTGCCACAACATCGATTGCGCTCAACAAAGTTCCTCGGAATATATGTTGACCAAAATCTCAGCTGGCAGGACCATGTTGACTGATGTTGACTAGCTCTGTGGGAAATTATCTTCCGCACACAACGGTGTACGAGAATTAAAGCCATCACCAATGAACATAGAGCATTAATTATACTAGTTATTATATTAATTATTACTCCCTTTTTTCTTCACATTTACGTTATGGAGTTACCGCCTAGGGGATCTACAGCAGATAAGAACATGGAACGCATCCTTGCCATACAAAACAAGACCATTAAGACAATCTTTCAACTGCAATCCCATGAACACTGCAAGCCGATTTTTAGGAACCACAAAATCCTTACAGTCATTTTCCTGTACCTGTTGGAATCCATCACACTCGCAAAAAATCTACACCTACCCTAAGATAAGAACAACATTCATACAACCTCCGCAACACACATAACATAGACTTGCCACAACATTTATTGCAGAAATTCAACAATAGTCCTCACTATTCTGGCTCCTACTTCTTCAATTTATTACCACCACAACTCAAAACAATAAAAAAAACCTTCATTTTTGAATGTCACCTTCAATAGCAAACTGAAGCAATACTTAACAAATAGGCTATACTACACATTCTCCGACTTGATTATAGGGCACACCTTCCAACACCTGAGACATGAATAGGCTTGCAAACCCATTTTTACCCTGGCCTGGAAGAAATGTGACGATTCCCCGATCCCTGGATTGTGAAGAAGACACCGGATGGTAAATGGTAAATAAAATTAAAAAAAACATATAATCCCTATTGCTGCAATAACTACGGTTCGGAAGCTTTTGTGATTTCCCCCGTAAAATATAATAGTCACTCTCACCATTTACCGAAGATGTTGTATCATACACCATTATAAACGTGATAAATGCTAGAAACGTGAAATGAATGTACTTAAACTTAAGTTTTGTAAAACTAATTTCATTCATTTCATTTATTCATTTCTACGGCAAATGCCATTAAACAATACATATCAAAACAATATGGTCTGCGAAAATAAATACAAGAATAGCAAATATACATGGAACAATACATTCAAGAGACTAGACAGATTGTATAGAATGATCCGACTCATTACAAAATAAAACATGCATGAACAAGTAGAATAAATAGTTGCAGACTAACATTACAAGAGACATCATATTATACTAATTGTAACGACAGAATAAATACTCAATACAAAATATTATATACATGAAGAAGCAAAATATAGTTTAAGACTGACATTACAAGAGATATTCATATCACTAGTTATATAACAGAATAAATACCACAACAAGAAAAATAAAATACAAGACAGGAACAAGGCAAATTAATCAAATTTTACATGACTCATATTCTGTAACTTCGGTAGGATTCAACCAGTCAGGAGCTCGAGAGCACACTTACGGACCCGTTGAAGACTGTCAAAGAATAGGTCACACTCCGACGCCACTTGGTTTCCCAGTCTTACAAAGCGAGCCAGAGGACTGTAGTAGTCGTAGTTGGTAGAGTGGTGGTGGCGACTCAGAAGTCCATGGGACCTGGTACTTGATGGTACTTTGAAGAACATTTCAGACAAGAGGTCTGCACACCGTACATCACCGTTCAGGAGTTTCAGGAGATACACCACATCTGCCACGTCACGTCTCAGAGCAAGGGGATGGAGTTTCAATGTTTCAGACAGTTCATCAACATGCACATCCAAGTACACATAGCCAAGTCGAACTCCGACCAGACGAATGAAGCGCCGCTGCAGAGACTCCAGTCTGGTTTTGGCCAGGGCTGTGTAACTAATGTTGACTTTTTAAAGATCAAGTACCACTTACTTTTTACTTTTTTTTACTTTTTACTTACTTTTTAATACGGATATTAGGCTAAATATATTGTAAAATATGCTATTCTACAGTTGAGAAACTGCTCCACTAAATCAGATACGCAGTTTGTGAAAGCCCTATTATTACGGTTGGTAATATGTTTAAGTGTTTTCCTCTTACGAAATAGCGAAAACCACCCGGTGACATTAAAAAGTTATCGTGGATATTTTCCTCAAACAATTGACCTGGGGTATTATTAATCATGTTGCAGATATCACGGCTATGTACTTTGATAGCCGATAGATCTCAACTACTCTGACCCACAAATCGAATGTGTTCGTGAGTTATTGAGGAAATCTTTGAGGAAGACAGCTTTTGTTGCGTAGTCTTGATAACTGGAGTCAAAGGGCGAAATGTAAATTCAAGGGCAATTTGTCTAATCGTCCGCTGTTTTCAAATTGGTGTATTATGGTTTTATCAATGTGTTAATATTTCCCCCCCTTAGAACCATAGTACCGAGCAGGTTTTCAATTTAGTAATACTAGTTGAAACTCTTCTAAATCGATGGTTGCCTCTTCAGGTTTCATATCTAAATATTATAGCTAATAAACACTTGGTCTATAAAGATACTCGTAGACATATCAAACCTGTAGTTTTGCTACAGTTATATTAAATTAAATATTGTTTTATTGGGTTACAGCTACAATATTTCTTGAAACAGCTTTATATAGAGTGATACATATACATATATATATATATATATATGTATAGGAACGTTCCAATTCTGACCGTTTTCATATAAGGACATGCCAATCCTGACCTCACTCTATACAATTCTGACCTTGCTGTACAATTCTGACCCGACTCTCAACCTATAGATTTAGCGTGGTTTGGCTGTTGTGTTAATAGTATTTTACAAACTTAAGGAGTTAATTGTAACATGTAAAATTAAATTACAGTTTTATTGTTTTACTTTCTCCCCCTATACCATAGTATATGGAGAAAGTATTGTTTTCGTAAACATTTTCGAGTTTGAGTCTTGAGTGGATACATTCGTTTTGGGTCCCCCTGGACCCAAAAAAGTGGTTTTCGAAGTGATATCTGTGTGTGTGTGTGTGTGTGTGTGTGTGTTTGTAAATAGTGCGTTTGGGGGACATTGACGTGTATTTTGACCATCCATCTGAGGACGAAAAACGTACCGAGGACATACTCGTGGTCCTCGGTACGTTTTAGCCCCAGAATTGCATTCTTGAGGTATCTACGAACCATAAAATACCAGATTTGCACAGATTTAAAAATGTCCCCCCTGTGGTATGGTCAGTCAGACACGTTAGTTCCAGTTGTGTCTCCCACGTAGCGGAGCGACACACACGCTATACACTCTCACCAGTTCTGTCTCGCTCAAGAGAGGACTTATTTTGAATTTTTTATATCACACGCCACTGTAATTTA